CCCAGCCATGAGGAGAGAGAAACGGCGGGAAACCGGGTCGCTTTCTCGCCGCTGTGAGGTTTTGTTGGCTCTAAAACGTCCCTGTTGGCCAACGCGGTTGAAGCAAAGCTTGGGGCGAGCGTTTTGGGGGTGGTTTTGGAGCAGCAAAGGTCTCGCTTTGCGGGGGACACCGGGGCCCGGGTCCTGTCCCGCCACCTCACCTTGAGCACGTAGATGGGGCGGTCCTCGGTGGAGCGGCCGATCTCCACCTTCATGACCAGGCTGGGGTTCTCGGCCACCAGCAGGTCCATGAAGGCGTAGATCTGCGGGCAGAAGGCGGCAGGAGGTTCACGGTGCTCCAGATTTCACCGTTTCCTACCAATAAACCAAAGCCCTGACTGGGCTCTCCGGTACCTCATCCAGGTCGTGGTAGGCAGCGTAGTTGAAGGTGGTGGTGGACGCGGGCAGGAGCCGCCGGCGCGTCGGCTGCCGCGCGCGGGCCCACCAGCGCCTGGGTGACACCGCAGAGCCCAGCAGTCGGGTGACACGTCCCAGCCACCCCATAAGGGATGGGACCGGGCACAGGCGGCGGCGCCGCTCACCTGCACGTCCTCGATCATGATGGAGTAGGGCACGCCATGGGCCTCCAGGTGGGCTTTGACGGGCTGCAGGCTGCGGAAGGGCACGCGCACATCCACGGGCGCCCCGGGGCCCCGCGGCGGCAGCCAGAAGTCCAGCTGTGGAGGGGGCACAAGGGGGCCCGAGCAGTGGGGACCCTCCTCCCTTCGGCTCTCTCTTTTTACCCCATTTTTGCACCCACGATCCTGGCCACCCACTTGTGACCTCCCCAGCTTGTTTTACATCCCCCCACCTTGCTATAGATATATATATTTATATAAAGCACACATATAAACATATTTTAAATAATGTTTCTTGCCCTCCTCAGTGGTGTCACCGCTTTGGCCCCTGTTACCTTCAGGTGCTCGAGCAGTGGGGACCTTCCTCACTTCAGCTCTTTTCCCCCCATTTTTGCACCCACGATCCTGGCCACCCACTTGTGACCTCCCCAGCTTGTTTTACGTCCCCCCCACCTTGCTATATATATATATTTTAAGCAGACGTATAAACATATTTTAGATAATGTTTCTTGCCCCCCTCAGCGGTGTCACCGCTTGGGCCCCCGTCTCACGGCCGCCGTTACCTGCAGGTGCTCGAGCAGTGGGGACCTTCCTCACTTGGGCTCTTTTTACCCCCTT